AACGTATAATGATTTAAATTGTGATTGTGCATGTGTCTTAATTAAGACATCCAGGCTCAAACACTGCAGCGTGAAGATCTCACCGTTCCTCCAGCAGCCTCTCAAATTTCTGCCTGGCCAGGTCCATCAGACCGTCCACCTCCTCCTGAGTGCGTTTGAAGTTCTCAATGCTAAAGGCGTACACCGTCACCTCTGGGATGTTCAGATGTTTGCACCAGCGCAGAGTCTGCAGAGGAATGCACACACACTCAGGTCATCACAGATGACCTCAGACGACCTCAGCCAATCACTGTGTCAGCACACTCACCTCTGCCAATTTGTTGAAACCCTGTGTGTGACCATCTTGACGCTCCATGTTGTTAATGTGAGCAAACCGTCGGTTCCCGTCCATGATGAAGGCCACGTGCTTGGGCATCGGCCCAGCCTGAGACAGAGAAAAGGTCAACGGTCAACTCAAATGAACACCTTTTTGACAGGAAAGTGGGTTCACTTTGTGAAGAGTTTTATTCAACCAATCTTGTATTTTGAGGTGCAAAGACCTGAGCCTCTCAGAATGTGACTGTGCCTGTTATAGAACATACATTATAGAAAATACACAGCCAAACACAGGTTTGTTTTTCTTCACACTCATTTCTCGTTGACAAACAGATGTGCAGTTTCATTTAAACTGTCCATCTTTTAACATGTAGATATTCAATTTCTCACAGTCTCCAAAATAACAAACTCCAACAGAATGGGATTATAGTTTATGGGTTGTTAAATGGTCAGTAGCTTATTAAACTGTTTAAATTGGTGTTAAATTGGTTAGAGTGATGCCCACCTTTAGAACGTTGGCTGAAATCCTTTCGATGATATTTAACTCTCCTTCTTTTATCCACGACATTGTCAGCCTCTTCTCTGAGGAGAGAATTAATTTTAAATGGAAAATCCCGTCGATTTGTATTTTAAAATAAAATTATAATCAATTTTTATTGAGACAAATATAATCATCTGGCAGGTCGCTGTCTTTATCATTTTGTAATAAGCTCACCATCATTGACAACGAACTCAAACTATTTCTTGAAAAATATAGCTCAAATCTCACAATAACACTTAGAACAGAGAACCGTGATCTACTGTCGGTGCTAGATTTATCCATACATTTCTACACGCTACTGTAATCTGTACTATTCATTTTACATATACAATTTATTTTGAATATTCTTCCACAAACCTGATTCTTCCAACTCACAGGTCTGGCGATGACGATCACTTCCGCAATACAGGTCACATGACGCTGCCGCTCAATGACGACTTCCTGCTCGGTGTTTGTGTTGGTTTGTAAGCCAGCGCTCTCTAGTGGCACGTAATGATACGAACGACAAAGCCATGTCCCATTTAATAAACCGAAGTTGAACGACGCAACAATTAACCATAGACCACCGAGTCCGGCTTTTAGCTTTCTTAAGATCAAATACAACATTTACAAAGTAAATATGCTTCAACTTGCAAATACAGTTAAACTGAATCTTCTCTTTCAACTTTGGTGCTAACTTTCTGCCACAAATCACCTCTTCGTTTGACGCTAGGTATTTAAACCCACCCACCTTTACTACTGCAACTCCTTACATCGTTATCGTTTCCCTCACCTCACTCTCTTTTACACACACGTATTCTGTCTTGTTCTTGCTGATCTTATTTACTGCTTTGATCCAGAAATAAACCTCCACCTCTCCAGGTTTTCCTCCACCTTCTCCTTACTCTCACCACGGACAACAATGTCATCTACAAACACCACGGTCCATGGAGCCTCCTGCCTGATGACCACACACTTGATTTAGTAAACAAAAAGGGATTCAGAGTTGATCCCCGATGTAACCTCAGCCCTAACTTGACCCTATCAATCACAGCTACAGTAACTACTGTCTCGCTGGCCTCATACATGTCCGGCGCAGCCCTCACATACTTTTCTGCCACTCCTGACTGTCTCATACAGTACTACAGTTCCTCCCTTGGCACTTGGTCCTATGCTTTCTCTTAATCTCTTTTGCTCTTAACCTCTTGTCTCGTTCTTGCTTCTACAACTCAAACCCAAACCTTCATTGTATAACTAATCAACTTTATGCCTTTGTAGTTACTTATCACCCTGGTTCTTGTGAATAAGTAGAATAAGTACGCTGTCCATTCTCCATTCATTAGGTTTCCACTCAGTCTCCAGAACAGTGTTGAACAACCTGGTTAAAAAGTTCACGTCACTCTCTCCTAAACATCTCCATACATCTGGACCAACACTTTCTCCTTTCAAACTCCCGGTCCTTTCTGATTCACCACCTGTTCTCCATCCGTCCTTATTTCTCTCACTATCATAATTTATTACCTCCTCAAAATACTGTTTCCATCTTCACTATTCTTATTGGTTTCCCTGTTCCAACGATGTACAAAAAAAGTTTTTATTTTTGTATTCAGGAACATTGATTTATCTTGATTATTCACAATTAGTCATTATTAATTACCTCTTTGGTTAATCTTGATTAATCCACACGCCACCGTGTGTTTAATCACATTAAAGATTTTTTGTAAAAAAAAAAAAATTGATATAATAAATTAACGAATACATCATTTATTAATAATAAAATACCAGAATCGTGTTAACAGCGCAGTTCCACATTTCGCCACATGGAGGTAACATCTAGTCTGATTTTATAGTCTGATTTATTCTTTAACAAAGAAGAAGTTTCAGGGTGGGGGGGCAGATCTCCTTCTTCTTCTGCTGTTTTTTGTTCCCCTGTAGAAGGAGGAGAGCAGTGTTTGAAGCAGGACCAGCAGGAGCAGGACCAGGACCAGGACCAGGAGCAGGGACTCCTATATTCACACCGACCAGAAGAGCGCAGACACTGCGCTGAGCAAGAGCTGAGTCCCGGCGGCGGGAGGTCATAGAGGGAAGACGCCGAAGTCGTGGGCCCGCAGCTCGGCCGTTTGTGACTCCAGTCTCCGCTCAGTGCCTGGAAGCTACCGTGGTTAGCCGCCTCCTCCTCCTCTTCCTCCTCCTTCTTCACCTTCTCAGCAGCAGCTGCTGCGGCTCTGGAGGCTCCAGCTCTGGGGCGGAGGGGCGGCAGGGCGGGAGTCTCTCACCCGGCGGTAGGAGCCTCAGCACCGGCAGCGGGAGCTGGAAGTCACAGCCGCTTCCAGGCTGAAGGGCCGGGGCTTTGGCCACAGCGGCCGGGAGCAGTTAGCTTCGAGCAGCGCAGCTAAGTGAATGGGATGGAGCCGGGACCGTCTGGCGCTGGTAGGTTGCATTTATTTTTGTCAGTTTTCACGCGTTATCGTGAAAATCAAGAGCAGACTTTTGTGCTGTAGCTTCGCGTTGCTGCTGAGGCGAGACGATTCACCAAGTCGTGATAATATCGAAAAAAATCAAACCGTCACGAAGAGTGAAAGTTTGTAAAAAAGGTAGTAGAGTAAATAATTAATTATTTCAGAAATCATGAAGTTGTTATTCGCGTGTGTTGAGGCGAAGATGAGAATAAATTACAAGTTTACAAGTTTACAATGTTTACAATTTAATAAACATTAATTTCGTGTTTCAGCAAGAACACCGGTAAATGTCTGAAAACAATTATAGTTTACCAAGGCTGTGGGCTTTTATTTAAAATTAAAAAAAAAAAATTTTTGCACTAAGTTTTTATTCAAATTAATTACGGTTCGAAAGTAAAATCTCATCAAGTATCAACTCGTTAGTTCCTTGTTTTGTTTTTGCGGGATCTTGGAGGACTTTTGGAGGAGTCGCTCCTCCAGCCTCGGTGACATCTGGGTTTTGATGCCACCTTGTTGATGGTCACAGATAAAGTGTCTTCTCCACAGACCGGGCTTTGAACGACAGATCTGCCACGAGGTGGCGCTCAGTTCTACTCTGGGTCTTTAATCATATCGTGAGAAGTTCAGACGTAGGACTGTATTTTTTAGTTTGTTTCTCGGAGAAGAAATTGAAGATGCTTCTACGGTTTTAAACAACTGACAACCGCATCTGCCACAGCAGCAGCAGCAGCAGCAGCAGCGTGCTGAGGCTTCAGCCGGGG